CCATCTCACAGCTGCATCCGTGGAGCGCTTGGCAGAAGTGCACAACCCCCTTGGAAGCCTCCTGGAAGCTCTGCAATGGAAGCAGCGTCTGACACCCATTTTGCATGGAGAGACTCACCCAACCTCACGGCGCCAGATCATGTGGTTCTCCACCTTAAGCACGATCAGAATCACCCAGAAGGCTGGTTTAAACACAGCTTGCTGGGTCCTCCCCCCCCCCCCACCCATAGGATCAGATTCGGTAGGTCCGGGGTGGAGCCCAAGAATGAGCATTCCTGACCACTCCCAGAGAAGCCTGCTGCTGCCGGTGGGACCCACGCCTGGCCCAGCACACCGTGGACACTCCGTGTAAGGGGCGAGGGCGGGCCATTGCAGGTGCATCCCGGGTTTCCTGCAGTCCAGCTGGCTGCTTGACTTCAGAAACCAGCAAGACTCATGAGATCAAGAACCAGCTCCAGGGTTTCATGGCTCTAGCCTTTCATGTTGTCCCAGAGGCTTAGCGTGTCCCTGGTGCTCAGCTGAGCACACAGAGAGGTTCCGAAATATTTTTGGAAAGAAAACCCACAGTGGAGGAGGAAAATCCAGCAGCATCTTGGACAGCTTGGTGTAAAGCAATGAGAAACATCTGAATCAAATTGCCTCTAAAATCACACCATTTTGGAAATTAAAGGGGGGGGGCGGAGACTCTGGGCCAAAATGCATTTCTAAAGATTTCCCAAGTGTTCGCACCATGGCAGGAGAGGCTGGGAAAGAACCCACCCGCCACGGCTCCTGCACCCGCCACAGCTCATGCCGTCTGCTCTAAGGAGCTGCTCCTGCCAGATTATGAAGCTGACCTTGTCCCCGGTCTGACCACAGGGCTGCCTTTTCCTTTGGTCTGGCCAGGCCATGCTGCCCTGCAAATGTGTTTCTCATGCACATTTGGCCCAGGGAGGTGGCAACTCTGAGTGGAAACACCAGCTCCCCGCCACGGGTCTGGTCTTGTGGGTTCCTAAGGGAAGTCAACTGCAGAGGCTAGGCAAGCCAGGTGACTTTCCAAATAAGTCAAGGCTCCAGACCTCAAAGAATCGGCTGTCTGGAAGAAAGCAGGTGGCATCAGTGCTGGTGAGACACAAGGAGATCTTGCCAAGCCTGGACACTCACCACCGAGGGGCAGTTGGGCCCCAATGAAGACTCAAATCACCCCCAAACCATCCATATTACAATCTAAAGGCAAATACCTGAGATTCCCACCCCACGAGAGACAGGGGCCCCAAGCCCCAAGCTTGAAGCAGCTGGAGCCTCGGGCAAGCCCCGTTCCCACCCGGGTCTCATCTACTGACAGAGAGGCTCGGACCCTCGTGAACCAGGCAGACCCACCACTCCAGCCAAGAACCTAGAGCTTCACAGGGGCTTGACACGGGAGACTCGGCCTCCTCAACCCACTCCCCACTCTGGGCCTTCCCTCTCTGCCTCTTTCCTCACGGGGCTTGAGGGTGGTCGCCTCCTGCGTTTTCCACTTAATATTAACACAGAAGCATGTTCCCGCCCTGTGAATACAAAGTCTTAACAAACATTTCCAATGGCTACATCACGTTCCATTCGCCATGTTCCAGGGTTTGGTTAATCCATCTCCTATCAATGAACAGTTGGGCTGTTCCAATTTTCACAGATTAAAAATAACGCGGGGCTGGGTTCGGTGGCTCAGCCTGTCATCCCAGCACTTTGGGAGGCCGAAGCGAGTGGATTACCTGAGCCCGCGGGTTCCAGACCTGCCTGGGCAAGTTGGCGAGACCTCGTCTCTACAATAAATCAAAAAAATTAGCCGGGCATGGTAGCGCGCGCCTGTAGTTCCGGCTCCTTGGAAGGCTGAGGCGGAAGGATCGCCGGAGCCCAGCAGGTCGAGGCGGCGGTGGCCGGGAGCGGCCAGTGCACTCCAGTCTGAGAGACAGAGTGAGACTCCAACTCAATAATAATAATAATAATAACAATAATAATAATAATAAAATGCAGAGGTGGAATTGTTCTGCCTGCAGGGGCGGTCGCTGTCAGAACCAACCAAAGTCACACAGTTCTAGCGGTGGAGTAAAAGCATGGGGCTGGTGTCAGTGGGGCAGAAGAAGTTGGATGAGGGGTCATAAGGTGCCTGGAACACAGGGTTCCCCCTCACCCCTTATCTGGATACCTCACAGACGTCAGTGAACTCAGCCCGCCAACTTGCTGGATTCAGCCCTTTCCCCCAACTCTCCACGCCTCGCCACTGTGCACCTGACATGCTCAGACAGGCCCCACCCCACCCCCCACAAAGTGTGGCAAACCAGGAACACTAAGCTTGTGCAAATCATGCCTTTCCACCAGACCCCAAATCAGGGAGCAAACCATGAGGACACATCGCGGGCTCGGAAGGAAAAAACTGGGCCTGGGAGGTGCCGGACGTCTGAGCAGAGCTCGGTCACACTCAGGCCCCAGCAAACAGGCCTCCAATCAGGATGGCCGACCCGTCTTTTCCAGACAACTCAGGAAGAGGGGCCTTCAACACGCAGCTCTCAGCTCCCCGCACCCCGCAGCAGGCCCGTGTGCATGGAGGACAATTCCCTCTCCCAGGCGCCGTGCAGGCCCCGTGTCTCCCCCACCCACTGTCCACACCCAGCTCCTCACCGATGTCACCCTGTCTCCTACACCATTCGGATCTCCCGGAGATCCCGGGTGCCCTTCATTCTGGGCCCAGCACCAGAGGCTGAGACCCAGAGTTGAGTGCAGGAGTGTCCCCACCCCAAGGGAGACTCATGCCAGCCACCTGCTGCCACCTGCCACCTCCTTCCATAGGTCCACTGCGCCTGCTCCCGTGGGCGGGGAGACCCACGTCAGAGGCTTTCTGGAGTCTTCTGGGGGACTCGGGTTTGTGGAGTACACAAGGATTCTCGCTCATGCAGCTCTACCAACCATCCATAACACTGAAGGAAGACCTGATGTTCCAAGATCAAGAAGACAGTGGACAATGTCTGTCAAATCCCCTCGCGGCACAGATCAAGAAAACTAAGACTCAGGTCAGTGGCCCCTGGGCGGCACCACTGGGCGCCCCTCACCTCATCCCGACTTGCAGCGACCACGGTCCACCAGTGCTGGGCGAGTCACCCCAGGAAGCCCGGGCTGTGCTCTATACATGAACAAGTTGCTCTCCCTGACTCCCGGAGGGCCTTCCCAGACAAGCTGCTGGGAGGTGGCTCCGAGGCCTGCACACTGCCTCTGCAGCAATTGGGCTCACTAGGCCCGCTCCATCCTCTGCTGGAACCTCACCAGCTGCCCTGGGGCCAGGCAACAAGGGGACAGAGGCCTGTGGGGGTGGGCAGGAAAGGCGTCCTGGGGTGGGGGCAGGGGAGAGCAGAGAGGGGTGATGGATGCCTCCGTGACCTCCCAAGTTTCTGGGCTTTCCACCCACCCCACCCCACCCTGAGGGAGAATCCCTCAAGCATCTGTTGTTGTTGTGCCAGCAGTGACAACCAGGTCGCATGCTAGAGGGGCTTCCCCTTCCCCAGTTACCTCCTAATTACTGCCTAATTACTGCCTGAGTCTGTTCTCCGCTGCTGTGACACAGGAGTAAAGCACCATGGTAGTTCGTGATCCACTCATGGCTTAAGAGAGGTAGGTGGCTAGTGAGAGGGGGAAGGGGTCCAGCTGAGAACCGCAGGGGCACACCAGAGAGAACGCGTTGCTCACTGGAGCCTCGGAGCACCTGGCAGAGGGAGAGCCAGAGGCTAGGCCATGGGCCGGGGAAGCCCTGACCCAGGGGAAGGAACAGATACGTGGCCCCAGGACCAGGCTCTGGCTTTCTGCTTCCCCTCCTCTCCACTCCTCCCTCCCTGCGTGGGTGGCCACCTCCAACTTTGGCTCCTCCCACAACACCCAAGAGCTGTTCCCTGAATCCCAGGACGAGGGCCTAGAGAGGCACCACCCAGGTCAGGAGGCCAGATGCCCACCTCCCTAAAGAACCCCAAAGGCTGACCTCAGACCTCCCTTTCCTGACTCGGGCCACACAATCTTAGAATCCAACTGAGAATCACGGGAAAATAGTAGCAAGGACCCAGAGGTCCTCCAGTCTGTTCTTAGCAACACCAACTCCTAAGCCCCCACAAGAATCTGGCGGTCTTCCTCGGCTCCGGCCCCAAGCTAGGCCGACCTGCCCTGCGACCCCACCGCACCAGACTCACCTCAGCGCTGGACAGACACGCAGACACAGCCTGCCCTGACATGCTGAACTGGGGTCTGCACTGAGACGAGCCCCCCACAACTGGCGTGCACATCCCTGAGGGACACTGCCCAAGTACCAGCCCTGGCCAAGGTGCCCGTTCCTCCCCGTGCTGCTGTCGAGGCTGTGCTTGCCATGAGAGCAACAGGGCATGACTAAACGCATGTGAAGAGAAAGGGAAGGAAAGGCAATCTCAGTCTCTCCATTCCTCAGAGACAGAAATAGTTCTGTGGCCTCCAGATGGACTGCGCAGACACAGGGGAGGTCTCGCCTTCCCGCCAAACTTTCCCAACGGGATGCTGGCACGGACAGGCCCTGGAGAAACCAGAGAGCATTTCTCTTTGGGGCAGTAAAATGAGAGGCTGTGGCTTAGGCCGGCCCTTCTGTTATAATTAACTTGGCCAGAAATTCACCTAGGATACTAAATTCCGTACCTCACCCTTTAATTACAGCCAGAAGACATCGGGAGACAATTACTTTCCAAAATAGTCGGCGGCGGGTGAGACGCAAGAAGACATCCTCTGGGCACTTCTCGAATATGCCAGCTGCACGCACCCCAGGACCGCCCGCCTCTCCTCCCTTCCCTCTGCCCGTCGGAGGCAGCCCAGCCGCCCGGGCTCAGGGTGGCAAGACCGCCGGGCCCACTTGCAAGCGGCCTCTGTAGCGCCTGGGATTCCCCAGAGCAGGGGCGCCCTCCATGCCTCCCTGACGGTGTGGGCCATGTCTCTCATGAAAACACCCCTGCTGCCCTCCGAACGTGCGAAACACACCGTACCTCCTTGGGCAGCCACCGCTGCCGCCGTGGCCACCACCAGAGGAGAGGCTTTCTTGCCCGGGTCGGGGAAGCCGGTGCCTTCCAGGATCCCGCTCTTGGCGTCTGGCTTCTCTGAGGCAGTGGCTGAGGCGGACGTCTCCATCTTAGGCGCTCATGGTCCTGGGTGGGAGCCCTGCAAGAGGAGACAGAGCATCACCCACACTGCACCCAACGCCGACCCAGATTCACCCCCCCCCACCGCCACCCGCTCGCTTTCCGCGCAACCAGCTTCAGATCACTCTCATGATTGGGAAGGAAGGTTTAATTAATTTGGAGGATTATTAGTCCTGAGAGTCGTCTGGTCTGAACAACCTCCCGGACAACTGCCAGGCATCTTCATCACCTTTTACCCAGATTGTTAAAATCTAAGCAATAAGTTCCTACTGATGTGAGAAACAGAGTCAGAGGTGATGACCCCCAGCTTAGAGTCAAGGAGAAAGAAAGACAAAATAGGGGACCCACAACCTGCAGGTCCCCAAGAAGGGCCCTCATCTTCCTGTCACTTCTCTGCCCACCAGATCCATCTTGCATTGATTATTTGTATATTCCCTCACTCCTTCACACATTTCATCCCCAACTGACTCACACGCTCGCCCCCCACATATTTTTAAGCCCTCTGATGCATCAGGCATCGCGCCCGGTGCTGAAATACAACATGTGGGGTTTGCATTCTACTTGGGAGAGACAACTCAGGGGGGAAATAGATGTAGATTTAATTCCAGTTGGTGGGAGGCAGCTCAGGAAAAGAATGCCGAGCAGCAGGACAGAGGGCGGCTGGAAGAGCAGAGCGGGGTGGCGTGGCCCTGCCTCTCTGAGGAGGGGAGAGGGCGCCCGAGGGGCTGCCCCATGGCAGCCAGAGGACAGAGGCAGGAGCCAAGGGCCGGCGGAAGGAGCTGGCTTCTTTGAGTAGCGGCGAGAAGGGAGGTGCAGGCACCAGAGGGTTCTGACCAGGACAGGGACATTACAGGATGTGACTCCCGGAGTAAAGGGGGGGGTTACTATTTTGCGGAGAGCAGGCTTTTGGGGGTAGAGGGGGCTGCTGCAATAACCCAGAGATGTGATGGCGGTTTGCACCAAGGGCGAGCAGTGAAGCTTGTGGGAGAGCTGACAGATCCTGCTGCAGTCTGACAGTGGGGTGGGGTGGGGTGGGGAGAGAAGGTACAGCCAGAGGGATGCGGGGTACAGGCCGCTTCCCACCCGAGCTGGGCGGTGGCTCGAAGCAAACATTCCCCAACATGTCTCATCTCCTGCAGATGCTGCTAGTACGTCATTCATACCAAATACTACAGACAAGAAATCTGAAAGTCACATTCTTTTTTAAAGGAGGGTGGTGTCAGAGACGGCTCATATTTTCAGTTGGACACCCGAGTGAATGAATGGTGCCCATCCCAGACTCTTTCCTTTTGGGTCCTGGTGCCTTTCGCATCTCTGGTGGCCCCCAGGTCGCCCCACCCTTCAGTCAGACACCTTCCCAAATCCCCAGTCTCACCTCATCCCTCCCGACCAAGGCCCTGGGGTGCTCCCTGGCCTTCAGGTGAGGCCTTCCTGGGTCATCCTGCAGCCTCCTGTCCCGGCCACCTGACCCCCCAGCCAGACGTGCGTGGCCCTGGCCCTGCACACAGCCAGGCCTCTGCTCAAGTCGTGCCACCCACTGGAAACCCTTCCCCTTTCTGTGTGCAATGAACTCCTACGCTTCCTTCAAGATGCCACTCAGACCACCTCCTCTGAGCAGCCCCGCCGCCCCTCCCAGCCCATGGTTGGAGCCCTGCGGGAGTCAGACCACGTCCCGACTCATCACATCTCCAGGCCAGGAGCTGTTCAGCATCCCCACCACTGGCCCAGCCCAGGCTGGCATAGAGTATCAACTCAGAAGAGCTGTCAGAGCCGGGCTTGGTGGCTCAGCCTGCAATCCCAGCACTTTGGGAGGTCGAGGCAAGAGGACGGCCTAAGCCCACGTGTTCAGGGCCCGCTGGGCAACTTGGGAGACCTCAGCTCTACAGTAAAATCAGAAATGAGCCTGGCGTGGTAGTGTGCGCCTGTAGTTCCAGCTACTCGGATGACTGAGGTGGAAGGATCGCCGGAGCCCAGCAGGGCGAGGCTGCGGTGGCCGGGAGCATCCCACTGCACTCCAGTCTGGGCGACAGAGTGAGACTCCAACTCAAAAAAAAAAGAAGACCTGTCAGAAGAACTACAGCTAGAAGGCTGTGAGGAACAGGCCCTCCTACAGAACCTCCCAGAACCTCAATCTGGGACTCCCCAGCCTCTGGAACAGTAAGACAAAAATGTCTGCTGTAGGTAGATCACCCAGTCTCGGGCATTTTGCTGTAGGACCTAAGCCTACTTACACACAGTGGCTGCAGCTCCCTCACGCCAAAGTCTGCCCAGAGCCATGGCACCATGATGCTCACCCGGGAAGAAGTCAGGGCTCCCGGGAAGTGAGCTGCCCAAGACCACTCCCCACGGAGGGCACAAGGGCCGGGTCTGCAGTCAGGCCCTCTGGCTGGGATGCCACCTGAGGCCTTAGAGTGTGGTTGCTTCAGGGATAGGAGAACAGGGTGAGGGTGGGATGGTATTTGCTCAGATTCCCACCATGGCCCCCAGGCTTCACGAACCCCCACGGGGAGCGCATCCAGCAGGGGGAGTGCCGGGCAGCCTGCCGCTTCCTCGGCCTCGCCTTCCCACCCCTCCAGGAGAAGCAGGCAGGAGGCAGAGCCAAGAGACTGCATGGGAATTAGCGGGATTAGCACAATTTCTGGGTAAACACCAGGCGCCGGGGTCCCAGGCAGCCACTTTCACTCCCTGAAGCTCCTCTGCGGCGGGCTCTGGAGCCCTAGTGAACAGCCTCACCTGGAAGCCCAGAGATGCCCAGGGATGGCAGGAGGTGGGGGTCCGTCCTGGGAAAGCTCCCGTGGGCTCTGCAAAGCTCTGGAACAGGAGGGGCTGGGAGCCACAGCCCCTCCCAAAAGGGAGAAGAATCAACACCTCACTTGACCTCTGAAACTCACACAGTCCTGCCACCACCCAGGTTCACACGGGAAACACAGCCTCAAGCTCTAGTTCCCCCGAGAGGAGCTTGGGCCCGGGCCCGGGGTCAAGGGGAGCCCCCTTTTCCATCAGGAGGTTCACTAGGCCCCCTGCCGCCCGCAGCCTCAGCAGGGGCGCTGGTGACAGCAAGAAGCTCTGGAACGTTCCCGTACCTTCCCTTGGGGGTGCCCCCTGCCCAGGTCTAGCTGGAGGGTGGGGGCCACATGTTCGCTGTTTTAAAAAGTTCTACAGATGTAGGAAAAAACTGAACCGGGTGCTCATACGGTCCCTCAGGCTTCCAAAAAGTGTGTAAGTTCCAGTCAAGGCAAAATCGTGTAACTGGATGAAAAAATACATCTTTATCTACACTAACTTGGAACTGCAGTTGCTGTCTCCCCCGGGCAAAGAAACGACAGTGCCTGCGAGCCTGCCACCAGCACCGGTCAGCCATACGTGTGACCGGGGTCACCATGACACGGGGTGTTACCAGTGCTCACCACGGAGGCCCAGTGACGCCCATCACCGCACCCACCACTGACCCTGCCCTCTGGCTGCAGGTAAAGAAGCCACGTATCCTATCACAGAGGCAGCACCTTTGACGTTTTGGCCACTGCATTCAGTATAATTGGTTTCTCTCATAACCCCGTGTCTTTTATCCTGTGCATTTCTAGCAGCGTTCTGAAGTGGGTCCGCGGGCTTCACCAGGTTGCCAAGGGGTCCACAGCACAGAAAAGGTTAAGAACGGTGCGTTAAGGACTCACATGAAGAATAAATTAATAATCAGAGCAGAATGAGAGAATCACCCTGAAACCTGAAATCCCAGACACCGTCCCGCCACCTGGCTGCTTTGAACTCCTCTGACGCGTGACTCACAGGAATTAGAGCGTTGCTCCCCAGGCAAAATCAATCTTCAGGAGAAAGATGAAGCCTCACCTCCAAGCTATCACTGCCTCTGCGGGGCCGCCACGTTCTCACCTCCTCTCTGATCTCAGCCATGAGGCATGCTTGTCCAAGACCCAAACGTATGAGCACATGTGGATGCACACACGCGCGCACACACACACAATCTCATACACTTATAACACGCAACACACAATGACTAACCTCATGCACAGCCACACACATGCATGCACACATACACAGGCATGCCACATTATAGTCACATACATGTGCATAGGCACACACACCCAAGGCCACAGTGCAAACACAGCCACACATACCACACATACATGTACGTACAACCACATACCTCGCTGCACATGTGTGCACATGCAGCATGTGTGTGGTTACATGCAGCGATACACGCACTCATGCATGTATACACAGACACACAGATCAGATAAACACACACACATACGCTGGAGATAAACAACTGCCCTGCTAGCTCACAGGTTTGTTTTTAAGATCCAGTGAGGTAAAACGTGTGACAGTTCCTGGAGTGAAGATCACGCGTCCAGTGCAGCACAGGTTAAGGGAAAGAATCGCTAGGCCTCCTGACAGCTGAAGGGGCAGCAGACTCATGGCCCAAGGCCGTGAGGACTTGTCCCACCTCCACCCAAGGGGCAGCCACCAGTCGTTTCTTCTCCCATCACATCAGTGTCTCCGTCAAGAAGATGGGTACCGGTCGGGCTCAGTGGCTCAGCCTGTAATCTAGCACTTTGGGAGGCCGAAGCGAGTGGACTGCCTGAGCCCACGGGTTCAAGACCCACCCAGACAACTTGGCGAGGCCTTGGCTCTACAATAAATAAAAAATGAGCCAGGCGAGGTAGCATGCGCCCGTAGTTCCGGCTACTCGGAAGGCTGAGGTGGAAGGATCGCCGGAGCCCAGCAGGTCGAGGCTGCGGTGGCCGGGAGCATGCCACTGCACTCCAGTCTGGGCGACAGAGTGAGACTCCAACTCAAGAAAAAAAAGAAGATGGGTATCCTACAGGGTGCTCTTGACATAAGGGACACCAGCCATGCCACAACGTATCGGCCACAGGAGAGAAGCCAGCGGACTCTGAACCCCATGTTGGAGGTGCAGGGGAGGCTGGCGCATGCTCCCATGCAGTCCTACTGTCCTGTCTCAACCCAAATTTGCACTCACTCCACCACACGGAAGGAGAGACAT